GAGTCATGTCATCATGGCCTTCTGCGAGAGGTCGAACGGAAGGAGGAGTGAGATGTTCCTTCTACGTGCGCCCACGCCGGTGCTCCTTTAGCCATTTGATGTTTGGGGTTGTGGTGGCTTGTCTCTAAAGTAGTGGTACGGATGAAGCTTCCGTTCAGCATGTCCATTTATGAGGACCAGGCACCGTGAGGGGCATTGTCCCTTCCATCATTCCATTATTCCAAGCTCCTGCTCAGACCCGCAGCAGCAAGACTGAGCTTGAAAACTTGAGATCCTGAGCGCCCTCCACCCACCTTCCCCCTCCCTCTCTTGTGTACTTCACAGCTACCCAAGAACATTCTGGCACTGGCAATTGGATGTTAGCTTTGCAAAAGCTTTCGATGCGGGGAGGGGGGACACTTGCAAAGCTATCACCTCCCCTTAGAGAAGGAACACCCCCACCCCCGAGCACCCCCACTCTGCAAGTCTCTGTGATTATTCTATTTATGTAGGGAAAGTCGGGGCGGGGTGGGGGGGGTTGCATGGGGAAAGGAGGCAGCAGCCTCTGAAAATGAGGGAATGTCTGGCCTTCAGAATGCTCCCCATAATTTTTCCTGTCACTGTCAGCGATACAGAGGTGGCTTCAGCTTTCTCCGGGAGCCTGGTCCTGAGCCCAAGATGCGGCATAACCTGGATGTGGGGAAAGGTGCCCTTACCGTTCGTGTAGTTTTCCAGAAATACGTTCCCGCCGAGCTAAGAATCTAGGAACAATCCCTTAGAGAGAGAGAGAGGGAGGGAACAAAGGCATGTCTGGAGCGGAGGGAAGGTGAAAGGTAATTCCATAGGCAGTACAATGATTTTAATTAAATATTAGCTGTAATTAGCCTGAAGTGCAAATGTTGGGAATATTAATTAGGGTCTCCCTGGGGCGGCTGTCGGGGTGAATAAAGTTAACGGTAGGAGGCCTCCCACCAGCATCTGTTGGGGAGTTCCAGGTGTGGGTTGCATTCTAGAAGAGTCCAGCCCCACCCCGCCCCATGTGCCTGGGAAAGATTGGCTAGCTACTGCTCTGGCTTCCAGTGCTTGACTTCTGAGAGCCAGCTCAGCGCCCTGTGTCCGCCTGGATGGCTTTGGCTTTGGTTAGAACAAGGAGGTTTGCTCTGGCTCCGGTGATGCACTTCCGTCCCCGGGGGGCCTCTACTAGAGAAGAGCCTGAAGCCTGGCCTCAGAGCTGACACAGGGTTTCCATGCCTCTGGGTCAATCACCTTTCAAGGGCCCACCCCTGCGACCACCAGCCAATCAGAATCGCCGACATCTGTCCAAGTCACTACCCCACAAGTAAGAGATGTAAACCACCAATGTGGGGGCCTCGGGGGTGTGGGATGGAGAGGGGTTTGTTTCTCTGGAAAACAAGAAGCCACTGCCGCCCCTGTAGGTGCTACTTTGGCCAAAGGAGAGAGAAAGCAGGGTCTGAGTTTGACTCCTGGCTTCTCTTCGGAATGACCTGTACCTGTGGCTTTGCTTAGAAGCAGGATCCAGGCCAGGTGCGGAACGCCTTCCGCTGCTGCTGGGTGACGCGAGAGCAGAGGTGCAGCACGTACAGAGGAGGCGCCGTAGACATCTGAGCTATTGTTTGGGGGGGGGGTGGAGGGTCAAGGGTCAAGGGTGACCCTTCCATGGGAGAGGACTGGCCTTTACACAGCGGCCATCACCAACCTGGCCTCCACCTTCCAGATGCCAGGAGCACTTCCTTCCCCAGTGTGTGCCAAAACCAAACATGTCCCCCACTCATCGCGGGCACCCCCTGGGCAGCAGTACCCACGACAGTGCCCGTCACTCGGCCTGACTTCGGCGCGCCCTCTAGAAGCAGGGGCTGCCTTCCCCGGGAGAGCCTCGAAGCCCGAGGTCCCGGGAACCTGTCTCTCGATGGACTACGTTCTGCAAAGTGTGTAGCCTGTGCCCCTTCTAAGACAGAAAGCTCGCGGTGGAACGGAAAGCAAATTTCAGAAGTGATTCTGAGTCATTCGGTGCGGCAGCCTGAGCTCTGCCAGTCTGCGGAACCCAGCTGGGAGCCTTGGGGAAGACAGCCTGCCCTCCCTTTCTGTCTCTTCCTGCTTCTCTGCCAGCTTTGTGTCCTGCGCTTGTAGCTGATGTGTCCATATCTAACGCTGCTTTGCCAAAGACACTAATGAAACTTCTTCTGCAGGGACTCCAGGGCTAAGTAGTGGAAACTTGTCTGGGCCATGGAGCCATTCTGACGACTATCCATCTCTGTGTCCATAGACAACAAGTGAAAACGTCAACATGGCTGTGTCTCGATAAAACTTTATTCACCAAAACAAGCAGAGGGCCAGATTAGCCCTATCAGCCATTCGCCAATCCTTCTCTGGCTCCTCCTACTATGTCCCCTGCTGCCAACTTAAACCTTTTAGGGAACCCAGACTTCATTTTTTAAAGCGTATAATTAGTCAATGCGCATAATTGTCACTTTGCATCAAGGCCTGCTGCTGGGGCTGGGGAATGCCATGGTGAATGTGGCCTCCTGCTCCTCCCCCTCCCTCTCCTCCTTCTCCCCTTCCACCTCCCCCTCCTCCTCCTCTCCCTCCTCTCCTCCTCCTTTTCCTCTTCCTTGTGTGGCAGGAGCACCCAGGCAAACAACAGGCCAGAGTGCCAGCTGTGTGGAGGAAGGAGCTTTGGATTGGGACTCTGGAAAAAAGAAGGGTTTTCCAGACAAGGGAGAGGGGGAGCATTCAAATAGAGAGAGTCAGTGAGACACGATGTGGCTACATTTCCAATAGAGAGTGCTTGGATCTAAGCAGGGACCCGGCTGCACCCCACAAACACACAGGACAATTCCATTCTTTCTAGGATGTCTCCACAGTGACAGCAGCAGCGTGGACAGATCCTCCACTGCGCCCAGGGCTGCAGGAAATGGGAAGGAGGGAGGGAAGAAGGGAAGTAGGAAAAGGAAGAAAGGAAGGAAGAGAAGGAGGGGAAGGAAGGAAGAAAGGAGAGAAGGATGGAGGGAGGGAGGGAGGAAGTAAGGAAGAGAAGGAGGGAAAAGAAGGAAGAGAAGGAGGAAAAGGAAGGAAGGAAGGAAAGAAGGGAAGGGAGGGAAGGAAGTAGGGTAAGGAAGGAAAGAAGAGAAGGAAAGGGAGGAAGGAGAGAAGGAAGGAGGGGAGGAGGGAGGAAAGGGGAGAAATGGAGAAAGAAAGAAGGAGAGAAGGAAGGAGAGGAAGAAAAAGGGGAAGGAGCCGGGCGCCAGTGGCTCACGCCTGTCATCCTAGTTACTCAAGAGGCTGAGATCTGAGGACCCCGGTTCAAAGCCAGCCCAGGCAGGAAAGTCCGTGAAACTCTTATCTCCAATAAACCCAGAAAACCAAAAGTGGCACTGTAGCTCAAGTGGTAGAGCGTAGCCTTGAGCTGAAGAGCTGAGGGACAGCGCCCAGGCCCAGAGTTCAAGACCCACAACTGACAAAAAAAATATCGGGGAGAGGAAAGAAAGAGGGAAAGGAAGGAAGGAAGAGAAGGAGAAAGGAGGGAAGGGAAGACAGGAAGGGAGAGAGGAAAAGGAAGGAAGGAGGGAAGGAAGAAAAGAAAGAAAGAAGGGAAGGAGTAGACCCTTTGATGGATGTCCAATGGCACAGATTGGGACAAATTAGTCTGGAGGAGGAAGCAGAAAGGAAGGAATGTTTATCCACTTGTGAGAAGGTTTAAAACCCATCTCAAGCTCGTTCTCTTCCAAGAGTCATCTTTAACCTTCTAAAGCAAGGTCCTCTCTAAACAAATGTGTAAAACCCTGGGTGGCAGGGTGTGGGGTGCTGGGCTGAGAACCTCTCCCCGCCCCCATCCTCAGCATGTCTGGGTTGAATTCAGGTTGCATTAGCAGTGTCAGTGGTAGGTGGCCAGGAAGTGCCAGCTCACCTGACATTTTTGCCCAGAGTCATTAGGGAAGGGCTAAAGTCGCATCTCATTGACCACAGACAGTGGAAAAACCTGGTGTTGGGTGGCTCTAATTGCTAAGCCGTTTGATTTCTCTCTGTGTGTATCTCCGCCTCTGTCTCTCTCCCCTTCTTCCGCCCCTCCTCTTTCTGACTGTACAGTTGCATCTTTGGAGAGCATGGAAAATTTGAACCTCTAGGCTGCTGTTTTGCATGCGGGTGTGTGAAGGGTGGAGGAGGAGTTACTGGGGTGGAGGTGGAAGGAGAGAGGGAGATGCTTCTAGAAATGGAAACATGAGTTCAGTTTTGTTGTTTTTTTTTTTTTAATTCTTTTGACTTGACTGTAATTATCATACGGCATGTTTAGGCTATAACTGAAGGATGAATTGTTACATAATACCCTTTAATTAAAAAAAAAAGTAAAATTAGAGTTGGAGTGGGGGGTGGGGGTGGGCAATGTTACCTAGTAGGGAGGGGGTCTGAATTCAGACTGGTATTTTACAGCTGAACGTGGGGAGATGGCCATCCAAGTGGGGTTCGCCACCTGACTCAATGAGACTCTGATTTCCCCCCACTGGCTGATTTCTCCTGGCATTGGGTCACACTCACGTGCATGCACACGCGCACACACACACATACACGCGCGCACACACACACACACCCCACACACCCCACTCAGGGAGGCATTGCTTCCATCTGAATGCCCAGCTGCACGGCCTGCGCTCTGCAGCACCAGCTCCTTGGATTTCCTCTCCCTGGGCCCTTGGAGCACCTGCAGAATCGCAGACCCACGGTCACCCCCAAGATGGGACGGAGGGATGGGGTGACCTTCAGTCCCGGGACACAGGCCCTGGCCTTTTGCACACACGCGCGCGCGCGCGTGCACTCTGGGGGAAAGGGATTGGGGTGGAGTGGAGTGGGGGTGTTCCTGGGCCTCCATCTCCACCTCTGTAGAATGGGGTGGCCTGGGGAGTGGGGTGTCCCCCATCAAAGGATGGGAGGATGGGAGACGACCCCCTCCCCCAGAGGATGCTCATCAGACCAGGCGTGCGCTCACGGCCCGTGTCTCCTCCTGGCAGGGTAACCAGGACGCGGCGGCCGCCCCGGACACCATGGCTCAGCCTTACGCCTCGGCCCAGTTCGCTCCGCCACAGAACAGCATCCCAGCGGAATACACCGCCCCGCACCCGCACCCGCACCCCGCGCCGCCGGACTACACGGGCCAGACCACGGCCCCCGAGCACACGCTCAACCTGTACCCGCCCGCCCAGCCGCACCCCGAGCAGAGCGCCGACACCAGCGCGCAGACCGTGTCCGGGACCGCCACAGTAAGGGGGCGCTGGGGCTCGGGGCCCCTGTGGGGGGGGGGGGCAGTGGGCAGTGGGGGGTGTCAGCCACTCACTGGGCATCTGAGCAGGACCCTGTCCAGTATGGGGGGGGTTGGGGGCTCTCTGGGTGCCTGCCGGACTACACCAAGCCTTCCCACGGCACCACCTCTCCGGTGCCTACATAAATGGTACAAGGAGACATGCATCTCCCCATCTTGTCTGCTGGGGCCTACAAGTTGGTTTTGGTTTTCTCTCCAGTGTCAACCCCAGTGGAATATTTTGCCTAATTTTATTTTATTTTATTGTTGGTCATGGGGCCTGAACTCTGGGCCTGGGCGCTGTCCCTCACCTCTTCAGCTCAAGGCGAGCGCTCTACCACTTGAGCCATAGTTCCACTTCTGGCTTTTTCTGCTTATGTGGTGCTGAGGAATCGAACCCAGGGCCTCATGCATGTGAGGCAAGCGCTCTACCACTGAGCCACCTTGCCAGCCCTATTTGCAGAGACTCGTGGCAAGGGTGGAGGGTGGGGGAGAGGTTTGTTGCCATTGGGACACTTGTTTTAAAGTTGTCTTTCAGGGGTAGAATTTAGCTAAGCACAAAACCCACCTGTTTTTATGCACACGGTCAGCTGCCTTTTAGAACATTGACAGAGTCATGCAACCATTACCCGGAGTCTGACTTAAGGAACGCTCCCAACATCTTTGGCTGTATATCATAACTGGGTGTTGGTGGCTCACCCTGGTGAGCTTAGCCACTCAGGAGGCTGAGATTTGCAGGAGTGCAATTCAAAGTCACCCCTGCACGGCAAAGTGTGCCGGCACCTCATCTCCAGTCAACTAGGAGAGCCAGGAAGCGGTACAAAATTGCAAGGCCTGGAATTTGAGCACTGATGAGAGAGGGAGAGAGAGGGAGAGGGAGAGCGGGGAGAGGGAGAGAGAGAGGGAGAGGGAGAGGGGGAGGGGGAGAGAGGGAGAAAGAGAGGGAGAGGAGGAGAGGGAAAGAAAAAGAGAGAGAGAAAGAATGAGAAAAAAAGAGAGAATATTGTACCCAGTCCCACCCCACTGAAGACCTAGAGGAAAGAAAGCTTAGGAAGGGTAGAACAGGCAAAACAGGAAAGAAGAAAGGCAACTTTTGTCGCTTTATTGACGTCCGGCAGTGTGTACCGTTCCATTAGACTTTCATATATGAATGCATGCACGGAGCTATCACCCATTAGGATAATAGCAAAAAAAAAAAAAAAATCTCCATCGCTTCCAAAATGTTCTTCAGCACCTTGACCTGCTCCTGTCACTTTAAACTTAGTTTGGCTGTTGCTAGAGTTTTATTGCAATGAAAAAATAAGCCATTCTGTGCTCTTTGGTCTGTTTTCTATTACTCTGCATCATTATCTTTAGATTCATCCATATTGTTTTATGTCTTGGTCGTTCACGCCTTTCCATGTCTGAGTATTAGCCCATTATATGAAGGTGCCAAGATTTGTTTCTCCATTTATCTGTGTATGAGTATTAGGGAAATGCAGAGATCATAAATGAGACCGTCTTGTTTCCTTCCAGAAATGATGACATACTTATGCTTATTTCTCTTGTGCCAAAAAAAAAAAAAAAAAGGAAAAGGCAAAGGCTTTCCTTTCTGTGATCTCCTTTTGAATCTTTCTTCCTTGATCTGAAGCTTGGCTGGGGCTCTTTCATTTGAGATTGCCTCCACCTCCCTAGACAAGGACCCCAAGTCCTGCATGTCATGGAGGAAGGAATGGAACTTCAAGGTGGGTTCCTTGGGTGGCTTCCCCAATCTTGGACACAAGGCCATATTTTAACATAAAACGTTAAAATCAGTCTGGATGCCGGTGGCTCACGCCTGTCATCCTAGCTACTCAGGAGGCTGAGATCTGAGGATCACAGTTCAAAACCAACCTGGTCAGGAAAAGTCCCTGAGACTCTTATGTCCAATAAACCACTAGAAAACCAGAAGTGGCACTGTGGCCCAAGTGGTAGAGCGCTTGCCTTGAGCTGAAGAGTGCAGGGACAGCGCCCAGGCCCAGAGTTCAAGCCCCATGACCCCCCCCCCAAAAAAAAAAAGTTAAAGTCAGGCTGGGAGCGGACAAAGTGGTAGAGTGCATGCTTAACATTCGTGAAGCCCTGGGCTCCATCCTCGACACCACATCCATACATGGTGGAGAAGAGATCCACCATTCCCTCGAAGGTAGTGTTAGTCCTGGAATAACCCTGTCCCTTGGCACAAATAGATATCCGTGGTGTTTAATGCCATCTGAAGGACACTGCATGGCCCTCCATTCTTGGAGAAACTGGGTAGTTTGGGAGGGGGGAGTAAGAGAAACCCATCCATCCATCCATCTGGTGCATTCTCAGAGCATCTAAAATATGCACATGACTTCTCAGAAAGTGCACAGTCTGTTCAGGGAAGCAGCAGTAGGCACCCTGAGCTCCTAGCCACTGGAACGAAGGGAAGTACAGTAGAGAAGACTCTCGGGGTCCCCCTTGTTCCCCTTGTACCTCTCCAGGGGCTCAGACATTCCTTAACGGCCGAGTTTTCTGCTGAATTCCCATTTAATGTAGGCCTCCTAAGACATCCTGGATGCCTGTCCCCACAGAGCTGAGGCCCTTTGATACCAGAGACTGCTCCTGATGAGGTATTCGACTCTTGCCTCGTGATAACGAGAGATTTTCTGGTGGAGAATTCTCTGTGTATCTCCAATAGCAACTTGACTTCTATTTTTAACACCAGCACAGTCTTGTTTCAGTCTCCCACACGCTCTCAGTCACCCTGAACCCCAATGGGAAAAAGAATGTGGATCTTGAGGCTCCGTCTCTGCTGACAGAGAGAAAATGTGTCTCAGGGACCTCAGCTGCCACCAGTCAAAGTGTCTGCCACATCTCCGTATTTCACTGGTGCCTTTAATAGACGGAATTGGTTGATGATGGGGTCTGGTTCTTCATCCTCCATACATTGGCTTCAGTTCTGAAGCCTGTAAGATTGTTGAAGCATGGGGAATGTGCTCAAAAAGTTTGGGGTTAAAATAGATGTTATTATTGAAGTAATTCAGAATGGGTCGTTAAGAAAGTCAAACAGCCGGGCGCTGGTGGCTCACGCCTGTAATCCTAGCTACTCAGGAGGCTGAGATCTGAGGATCTCGGTTCAAAGCCAGCCCGGGCAGGAGAGACCATGAGACTACTATCTCCAATAAACCACCAGAAAACCGGAAGTGGCGCTGTAGCTCAAGTGGTAGAGCGCTCGCCTTTAGCTGAAGAGCTGAGGGACAGCGCCCAGGCCCAGAGTTCAAGCCCCACAGCTGACCAAAAAAAAAAAAAAGAAAGTCAAACATTAGCTAGACATCGGTGGCTCAAGCCTATAATCCTAGCTGCTTGGGAGGCTGAAATCTGAAGATCTTAGTTCAAAGCCAGCCACGGCAGACAAATCTGAGACCCTTATCTCCAATTAACCAGCGAAAAGCAAGAAGTGGAGATGTAACTCAAGTGATAGAGCACCAAATCTGAGTGGAAACTCTAAGGGAAAACATGAATACCCCAACACACTCTCTCTCTCCTCTCTCCTCTCTCTCTCTCTCCAAAATGAAAATGAAAATTCTCTAATACCCATAAACCCAGCTCCAGCTCTTAAGTCTGTTTTCCAGAAAATTAAAAAATATATACTTTTCCCTGTTCCCTTTTCTTTCCTTCCAGAATCATTTGATGCATCTGCAAGTGTATATCTGCTTGTCTTATTCCCATCTTGATCTCTGGCCCTATAACCTTTCTCTAACTCAGTCTTCACTTCCTCTAACCACTTTCTTGGCCCATTCTCAAAATCTGAGCATTGAAATCTACTGATCATGGGCTTTTTGAACTCTTAAGTGAGGAATCTCTCTCTGTCGGCCTTTGGGATCCAACCCCTTGCTTACACGCCTGTGTATAGTCCTGCTGAAGGAATTACATAATTTCTGGGATTCATCTTATCTTGTAATTCTAAGTCAGGCCAAACAGAAAAAGCTAGGTACAAATACTGCCAGCAAGCTCTGCATGTCTCTGCCTGTGAATGTTTAAAAAGAACATGAATTTACAAGATACACATCAATCACCTACCTCACAGAGCATGCACGCATTTGAATCTAGAAAGGCTTCTTGCCTATCAGAGTGTACCAGCTATGAGCAAGCCCTCAACCCATAAACCAGCCTGTAGGTGTGTACTTAATGGTGACTGATCTGCTCTCTCATGAAACAAAATACCTGGAATCTTAGCTACTCAGTAGGCTGAGATCTGAGGATCGCAGTTCAAAACCAGCCCGGATAGGAAAGTCCATGAGATCCTTATCTCCAGTTAACCAACAGAAACCTGGATGTGGTACCATGGCTCAAAGTGGTAGAGTGCTAGCCTTGAGCTCAGGGACAGCACCAGGTACCTAGTCCAAGCCCTACAGATGGAGGGGGGGTGGGAGTTGTGTGTTGTATACTCACAGATGGAGACCAACAAACACTGAGAGGCTATGTTGGATATTCTTCCCACTTCCATCTTATTTCACCCTGATATGAGATCTTTTCAAGTAGTATCACTTCCCTTTATTTTCCACTGGGAAAACAAAAGGACTCAGCAGATGAGGATATTGTTAAGTTCAGGAAGGACCTACCTGAGCTGCTCACTCAGGAATGCCGAATGCCAGAACCTTCCTCTTTCTCCAAAATGTGTCTCTCCTGGAAGTTTTTGGGGCCAGCACGTAGATGATCAGTACCTAAGCACATGAAATCCAGGATCTCATGCAAGTGCATGCCCAGAATCCAGAGATTTAGAAAGCAGGAGATATGAGGATCATGGTTTGAGGCTGGGCCTAAACTCCCCTCAGCAAGACTGGATGTCAGAAGACACATTGGGCACCATGGTACACACCTGTAATCCTAGGGAGATGGGAGGCAGAAGTTGGAAGATAGAGTGGTGAACCCATCCCTGGGCAAAAGTGTGACTCTCTATAGGTTTGTCAGGCTCTGTCCCTC